GAAGAGTGTGATCGCATGCTTCCATAAAGTCGAGGACAATAAAAATAATAACTCCATCCTTCTATAAAATGCTAGACAAAAGAAGCCTCCTGGCAACTTTGTGCCCAGACTGAAAACAAAATACTGAGCTGCTTTTTTAGTGAGTTTTTTTTATAAGGGATCAGCTTGTGAATCTAAACAGTTATCTAGAAGGCAATTGATGTCTTTTGATAATGAGACACGGTTCACAGGATGCCCCCGATTATCAAGAGTCTCCTGTTATAAGCAAGAGGGAAAAGAACCAACAAACCATATAGAATAAATTAATATAAGTCGATTAGGATGTGATGTAAAAGGGAAACGACCAAAATTCCAATTAGTAAACCAAAGAGTATATGTCAGATATATTTCAGAATAGAATACGGCATCACCTACCTACCCATGCGAATGTCAAATGCTTGTACCATCAACACTGCAGGTAGTTATTTCTATCTTTGTTAGGTTAACTAAGATTGCACTTAATTTACACTAACTTGAAAATTATAGATTGTTTGTAATATAATAGAACGGAAAGCAAGTGTATAAGACTTCACTGAATCAAGGGCAGAATAAAGATAGCTGATCAGGATGATAAATAAATCTAAAAATTTTACAAAGCGATATCACCACCAGTTGAGACTGCATCACAAAACAAATCCCAAAAGGAGTAATGATAACAAGAAGGCAAGAACAGAAAAACCAGGAGCAGTCGAGGGAACAGGAGAAAAAAAATTGCAGGGCAATACCATGTAATCCGTGGCGATGAAAGGGTCGTTGACAGCGACCAGCTTGACATCCTCGCTCTGGAGGGCGAGTGGGCGACCTGACCTGGCCACGAGCCTAGTGCTCCTTCCGAAACCTGTGCGAAGTTACAAAGTCCAAAACCCAAACCCAACCCCAAACCAATCGAGTAGGAAGAACAAGGTTGGGGGTACAAACTCAGTTGATTCTGATCGATCTTGATTTTGTTTGCTCTGGAGGACGGCACGCAAGGTGCAACGGCACTTGCAATGGACCATAGCAGCGTGCGACGGGCAAGTGTTCCTCCGCACCAGGATGATGCACACGGTCAAATCCATCTCCACCGTGGTCTAGGCTGGCGGTCTGCAGTCAGTGGCGCAGTGGATGGAGTGCCAGTCGCCGGCGGCGCTACCCATGGGGTGGGAACCCAACGGGGAGGGGTGGCAGAGTGGTGCTGCGGGGTGGGAAAAGCGACGCTGCCTATGGGAGATCGAGGGACGCACCCATGGGAGCCCAACGGAGGCATTGATGTGGGAGTGGAGGCGCCGCGCCATTGTTTGAGGGGCGGTGGCGGCGGAGACCCGGCGCTCGGGCCATGGAGGGCCGGCGGCAGCGGCAGCAGTTGCCCCGCGTAGGGCAGGGGCGATAAAGCGAGGTTGCAGAGGGCGCAGGGAGTCGTGGCGAGGTTGCGAGGAGCGCACAGCTCGTGATAGCGAGGGCGAGGGCGGCGCACCACGGAGGAGACAAGGATGCGCGTGGTCTAATTGCGGTTGCGGGACCTTCCTTTCTCCCAGTGCATTGATTTGGGTGAGCCGCGCGTGATTGCCAGGGGAGATGATTGCGGAGCACGAGGTGAACTCGCGGTATCGCAGGAGGAGGCAGACCGACAACCCCAAATTTTTTGTCGCACGAAAAAATGTCCACGTTTTGTTTTTTTTAGTTGTGGGAGATGTACAGAGTGTCGCTTTCTTGCATCCTTTCATATGCTTACGTGATTAAGTTTGATGAAGAGACCACACTAAGAAAGCAGAAGGAAATATTATGCTACATGAAGGTGGTCACAAATATACAACGAATATTGTGGGCTGTGTGAGTTTCTTAAAGATTATATTTCAACAATAGATAGACTCACCGTTGTATGATGGTGTGTAAAACTAACCAAATTCTTTTACAAGGTGTCTGGTTGCTGGCCCAAATAGAAAAATCAATAAAACAGCCTCTATTTTTACTATTCTCATCAACAACATTTATCTTCGCCAGAGAGTGAATGTAAAATGAGTATGACCACTACTTGCTAAAAATGTTCAGACGCGTGCATGCCTAATATACCATGGCAACCACATCTTTGTGACTTTGTGTGGTAGCCCAAATGAATCGGAAAACCAAGAAGGAGCTAGCTAGGAATTGCATGCATCTATACATAGATAGATACATACATGCAATTAACTAGGACCAAGAGGAGAGAGAGGTAGGGAGGCAAACTCTCATGGCCACACAACTTACATCGTCGGTGGTCTCCATTTGGCGATCGATGTCCTATATATATAACCAACAACCATGTTAGTTCAACAAGCAAACCTGTCATCAATAACAGCTAGCAGCAACAAATAAACACCTACCTCGCCGAGCGAGAAAATGAAGACCACCATGGCATCAGCCGCGCTGCTCTTGGTGCTAGCCCTCGCGCTAGCGTCCGCCCCACTCACAGCAGAGGCAAAGAAGAAGAAAGCAGCCGCCGCCGCGGCCACCGGCGAGTCGGCCGAGACGAAGAAGATGCAAGACAGCTTCTGCGCCACGCTCTGCGAAGACAGGAAGGGGATGGACCTCGTCGTCTGCAAGGAGTCCTGCGAGCTCTCCCAGCGCTCCAACCTGGTGCTGTACGGGAGGATCCAGTGCAAGGGCAAGTGCACCGAGCAGAAGGGCATCACCGCGCCGGCGATGAAGGTCTGCGAGGAGCAGTGCGACAAGGACTACGTGGTGAAAGCGGCCGAGGTCACCGCTGCCTGCAACAAGACCTGCGCCAAGGAGAAGAACAAAGCGCTCAGCGAGACTTGCAGGAAGCGCTGCACCCCTCCTGCTTCTTGAAGCATGCATGCTGCATGCACTTCGATCTTCTTCTGCTGCGTACTCTACACGTACATGCGGGTGACTGACATGGCCGGCATTCAGCTCAGGCTCATGAGCTATCTATACGTCGTCGTTGTCACCGGCTGGCCGCATGCAACAATCATTTGATGGGCGTTCAGCTCAGGCTGATGAGCTATCTGTATACCTATTAATTTGGTATTTTTGTAACCTAATTGTTTTTGTTCAAATATGTCAATCGATCGAAGAATCGATCCATCGACGATATATAGTTTCATCGACTGCTTGATATTAGCAGTCCAATGTAATGTCACGCAAATAAGCATTTGTGTGGTTTTTTGTTTGATTGATTGAATGAATGAATGAAAAGGCATGCTGGCAGTTGTTACCACTAAATAATCTTTGGTTCTATTTTTCACATTGGGTGAATGCCTATATATGTCAAGCACAGTTTTTTCTTGTCTTCAAGTAAGCAATACGCGAATGTTTCATGCCTGGATTAATCTCCGGTATGTGTGTGTTACATTGTGATTCACTGTTGGCACGTGGAAACTGGTATGTAAGTATTGGTTGAACAGGTTTAATACAAACATAGAGCAAAGAAACTAACTAGTGCAAATAAGTTGAATATGAAGGGTAAAGATGATCAAAATGTAAAAGAATTTGAATCAATAATTTTTCCATTATTATGGAAAAACATTAACAAGCAATGGACATTATTAGGCGACCTATTGGTTGCATATCAGTGACACAACCATGAAGAGGTTTCAAAGTGGCGGAGCGCAATCGTCACAACACCTAGACGACTGGTGAAAGCAATTTGGTCCATGATGATTCTTGTGACTTGAAAACACTGCTCAACTTTAGACAATGTTTAAATGGCAAATAGAGGCCAATTGTGTTATTTAGGCACTAAATGGTCCATTAAATGGTTTGGTCGTTCCAAATTATAAACCGCTTTGACTTTTTTTTTTGTAAATTTACGATGTATCTAGACTATAATTTGGAACGTAGGGAGTATTGTTTATCATTGACCTCGTGTTTTCATCCATTTCAAATTATATGGTATTTTGACTTTTCTAGTTATATTGATTTTATTATATATCTAGACATAAAGTATATCTAAGTACATAAAAAGTTATTTATCTAGAAAAAGCCAAAACGTCTCATAATTTAGAATAAAGAGAGCAAGTAAGTACCATCTTATATAGAGAGAGGATGTATTTTTCAACTCTTAGATGTAGCTAGCTACTCCTTTCCTATGATAGAAACCAAATATTTCCTTTGTTGTAAATTATAAGTCATTCTAGCCTATTTTGGTACATAATTTTTATTATATCTAGATAAATAGTAAAATCTATGTATCTAGAAAAAAAAACTAGAATCATTGGAGGGAGTAGAAGGAACAACTAGCTGATTGGTGCAAATAATAAAACGCTGCACCAGGCGATATACTGATATAAATGTAGCACGTATTCTTAGTTGCTCCCTCCATCTTAAAATAAAAGATATGGTTCGAAATTTCACTCCAAATTATAAATTATTATAAATTGCTCAATCACGTCTATGCGTGCTTGCCCTTTAAACCGTAGAATATTCCTTTTAAACATCATTATATTTAAAATAACTCATGTAATTTATAGCCGAAATCAATAATATACATACATGTCTTTTTAAACTAAGTCTTATTACTAGAAAATATAACAAGATAACAATTGCTAAGAAATTAAGCAAGGTACAATTAAACTAACTAATTAGTGAGGTGTTAGTTAGTGTTTTGTCACACTCATTATTTGGTCTTAAAATTGTTTATATATCTCTGATAGAGTATATAAATAATCTATTTTCTTACCATATGCATGCGTTGTGCACGATAATTTATACCATTTGCTACAACTCAATGCACGCCGTGAGAATTTTTTCTGCTTCTTCGTGCATCTTTTTACATCGTGCACACGTCGAAAACACTTCTTTCACGTTTGTACTTAGCGAGCTCTGTTTCTTAGGAAAGTTCCTTCTTTGTACTCTGCTCCTACTTCCACTAAAAAACAGCGGCGAAAATTATAAACAAAAAAAAAATCTCTGTTCATTTCACTTCGAAATCTCCGCCTCCAGTCCGTCCTGCAAGCTCCCGACCCCCACACTTCCCACCTGCCATGGCGACGCCGGCGGCCACCCGCCTCCACGCCCCGTTCCTCCTGCTTCCTTCCCCACCGCGACCGCACCCTCCACTCCGCCTCCGCTTCCGCTTCCTCCTGCCGTCCCCGCCGCCGCTCCGCCTCCGCCGCCGCTTCCCGCTGCTCGCGGCCGCCGCCATATCCGCCGCCGCCGCCGGCGTCAGCGGCGGCGGCGGGGAGGACACTGCCGCCGCCAGGAAGGCCGACAAGGCCAGGCAGCTGCAGAAGCGGGTCCTCGTGGGCGTCGCCATCGGGGTGGGCGCCGGAGGCGTCGTGGTCGCCGGAGGCTGGGTGTTCGCCGCCGCCGTCGCTGCCGCCGTCCTTGCCGGCTCCCGGGAGTACTTCGAGCTCGTCCGCGGCACTGCCGGCGGAGGCGGGACCCCGCCGCCGCGCTACGTGTCCCGCGCGTGCTCCGCCATCTGCGCTCTCATGCCCATCCTTGCGCTGTAAGGGCGCATCGCGTTTCTTCTTCCGTTGCTTATCTTTTAGCGCGTGCTCTGTCTCTCTCATAGCTGAAAATTTGCTTCGAGCGGAGGTGTAATTTAGCTACGATTTGACTAGCATCCATCTTTTAGCGTAATGTGATTATGAGCTGCCTACTGCTCAAGTCATAGAGGGGATCTGACATCTGAGTGTTCCAGGAAAGGAAGCTGTGCAAAAAAATTGCATCATCCTATATTCCTATTCCTATGTAATTTTGATGACAATTTGATGAACTGGTTGCAGTGGAAAAACTGTTCTGACAAATAGAACATGAAAAATGAATTGAAGCTAGTTCATCAGCTACATTGAAAAAAAAATAGCCTTATAACTTTTCAGCCTGTGAAATTGAGTAATCTGCTGGTGTGATTATTAAGATTTCGGGTTGAGGATATTGGGATTATATTCTCATTCCTGAATGCAGTAAGGAAAATTTCAAGGAATAATGCTTGTTCTAACATCCCCACAATATAGTTGAGTTTAGGTGACTTTGGAGCTTACAATTTTCTTCTTAATTGCATAGGATTTGTAACATCAATAGCGCAGAACCTCTTTGAAGTTCATTAGTTAGTTTCAACAAGATAGGCAGGGGATTGTAGATATATCATGGTGATACTGCTAAGGATTCACAATCTCAATCTGAGAGCGAAAATGGGCCACATGCATCTATTTAAGAATTCTACATATTCAGCTGTTATTTCATGTAAATATGACCGTAGCTTTGATTTCTGATATTTCACCTGTCTATTTTCCTAGGTACTATGGACGCATGGATGTTACTGTGACGTTTTCTGCATTTGTTATTGTAATATCATTGCTTTTACAAAGAGGAAATCCTCGTTTTGCTCAGCTAACTAGTTCAGTTTTTGGGTTATTTTATTGCGGCTATCTACCTTCTTTCTGGGTTAAGCTTCGTTCGGGACTAGCTGCCCCTGCCTTAAATACAAGTAAGTTTCTTGGTTGGATCGTCTTTTTTGCTCTGCCAGCCCTTGTGCTCTTTAGTTTGCTACTGTTGATACAAATAATGTGTGTGCTAACTATATTGGCCTGTGCCCATCTAATTAGTCTTCCTGTTGTCTTGGTTATTTACAAGGATATTTTTATTATCTAAGTCCTTACAAGGTCATATGGTTCTAGTGTATCTATTTCTTTGCTACCTGTAAGGCCCTCCCCTAATATACAGTGTGTTTTGCCAGGTATAGCATACAGTTGGCCAATTCTTCTTGGTGGACAAGCTCACTGGACAGTTGGACTTGTAGCAACCTTGATGGCGATTAGTAGCATCATTGCTGCTGATACATTTGCTTTCCTTTGTGGAAGGGTATGCTCTTTAATTAACACATTTTATTTTCTTTTTTATTTCTTTCTATTGTTGAGTTCCATATCTAGAGTACCCAACTTGCGTGGGACTAAAGGCTTTGTTGATGTTATTTATTTTGTGCTGCATAACACCATGTGTTTACTTTTACCAATGCACCAGTGTAATATTGGACTAAGAAACAAGTGTAGTTGTTTGGGTTCTTGTAGCTCATTATTTTAGTTATAGCAAGTATCTGTTATCTGTATACCTTAAGACACTTTCTGAAATATGGCCTGTTGCTCATGAATTATGATGCCAACAAACCATGTGGTTCATGGTGTAAGGTGAACCATTGAAGCTTCACCTTAAGACTAGCTGCACTCAACTGATACCAGCTTTATGCAGTGCCCAGTTAATTTATTGGTATAACGTGTGGTCAGTTAAGTCTACAGTTTAGTAGTTGAAAGGAGTACCATGTGACCATGTTATTTTTTCGTTGTTTCAGGCATTTGGTCGTACTCCTTTGACTAACATAAGCCCTAAGAAGACCTTGGAGGGTGCTTTAGCTGGTCTAGCTGGCTGTGTACTTACCACTGTGCTGCTGTCAACTGTCTTACGCTGGCCAAGATCACTGTTCAGGTGTGACTTCTGGAATTTCTACTATTATTGTTGAAGTGCTATCTAGCACATCAAGAGCAAAACCAAAAAGGAAAACTATATTATGTTCTTATTAGACTTTGGACTTGATTATCCTGAAAGGACTTGCAGCCTATCATAATTTTATCATTTTCTTCAAAGTTGCAACATATAGATGGCAATACTGCACTCCCTTGTTTGCGAATGGAAAATATTTGGGCTACATTTCATTTCAGTGCCTAATAGCTATTTCGTTGATATCAGTGCTACAGCTTATGGAATCCTGATTTTTCTGGGTTCATTATTTGGGGATCTTGTTGAATCTCTGATTAAGCGTGATGCTGGTGTGAAGGACTCTGGATCACTCATTCCTGGACATGGTAAGCAGTGTTAATCTCCCCTATGCCCTTCTCTACACTGCTTGTACTGCATTGAAATAATCATCCTTGGAGAAAATATATATCATAGAAGTGGAGAAATGCATAGCCGCATTGTATTCATGTTCTATCAGTATTTCATACTTCATGCATGATTGTGACACAATGCTACAATGCAGGTGGAATTCTTGACCGAGTTGACAGCTACGTTTTCACAGGGGCACTTTGTTACTCTTTTGTCAGAGTAGCTCTACCCTTATATGGGGTCTGATTAAAGCACCTGGCTTTTTGTTTTTGTCTTTCTCCTGCCATCAGCAATGCGGTCACCATATTTTAACATAACGATGAGTTTTGCTTAGATGGCCTGGATCAGTCTGCATCTCAAGACAATGTGGTCCTCTTATCCAAGGGAATTTGGTGGCCGAGTTTCTGACTGTTATATAGAACAAAAGATTACGGCCACAAGCTCAACATCGGCAGTGTTTCTCTTCTTACTTTGGGTTTGAGATGGGTCTTTCCAGCTCAACCAGTTTGTCGCAAACTTGTAACTTTGGATGTACATAGTTTTTTATATATAGAGAGAGTTAAAAGGAAAGGCTAATTATTCATCACAAAAGCTGTTAACAGTGTATTGAAGCTTATGCCAATATGTACCAAACAATACTTGTTGATATCGATCGTTTTAATGATTCAAGGCATTTGATTGTCAGCTAAATTCCCCATTCATATCAGTTGTTCAGGTGTTAATGGCTGAGGAGAGCAGGGTATAATTGCTAGTCTTGATGGATGGATTCCACGCCATCATTTCAACTAATTAATTTGAAGTATGCAGGCTCTGAACATAAAAATGTCGCAAATTTTCATTTACATCTAAAGTTTAGCGTTCAGATAGCACTTTTCTAACAGAAAGCATTAGCTTCATGTTACCATGTATGTGTATATATTTACTGAACTGAACCAGCAAAAATTCTCTACATATGTGGAATCTCATACAAGGTACAATAGATGTCGAACAAATCAATGAAAGCTGAAGAAACTGGTCTCTCGTTCCATCTTTCTCAGTGCTGATACACTATCTGATATTATCAGCTAATCCGGCCAAGAAGGGAGATCTTGGAAGTTTCTTTCAGGTGAGATCCCATCATTTTGAAAGCCAGTAAATAATCAAAAAGATGGTGCAGGCCGCGATCACTGCTGAAAGAATTATAGTGTCCTTTGATTTCTTCCGCTTAATGGCGCCTGCAAGGACGGATAGGCATAATTATATGGATGTAGCAACACAGTGGCTGCAGGGAGTCCATGGGAAAAATATCACACAGCAGTGACTAATACAATTGCATCATAGCATAACAACAACAAAAAAAAAAACCAGTGCTGCAGCATGCAAAGAAGGGATCAAAATATTACCAAGAAGACCTCTGATTATGGGGAACTTTTCGCCCAACTGCTTGACTTTTCCTTGAATATCTCCAAACAAGGCCCTCTGATTGGAAAGAGCTACTCTTGTGCTTTGAGCTTGGCCAATTACCTCATCAATCTGGAATCCAACAAGAAAAACGGCAGCTTAGTTCCTTGCGCCAGAGATAGAGCTCTGCACAGATGTATATTGACAGACATTGGCACAGTGCAAATGTTCTTGAGGCGCCGTTTAGATACGAAAATTTTTGGTTTTTGGCTACTGTAGCACTTTCGTTTGTATTTAGCAAAAATTGTCCAATTATGGACTATTTAGGCTTAAAAGATTCGTCTCGTCAATTACGGGCAAACTGTGCAATTAGTTATTCTTTTTACCTACATTTAATGCTCCATACATGTACCGTAAAATTTGATGTGACGGGGAATCTTGAAAATTTTTGGATTTTGGGTGGGATCTAAACAGGGCCTGAGTCGTAACGTTCCTAGCGGCCTATTCTTTTACACTCTTGATTGCAGAATGAGTGAAATGGGATCTGCTGCAGCAGTGGCTAGTGAAAGATACATTTGCTTCCACAAATTTCTATCATACAGTTTCGCACATGACATCATTCATATCAGCTTAGGGTGAACATTTAATTTCTTAAACTAAATTCTTCTAGGGCAAGCTAAGCAACTGTGGTATACTGAAATTACAATAAACAAAATGTAAACAGGCACCGCAAGCCTTGTCTAACTCCAGAAGATACCTGGTTGATGCTGCCATGAATGGAAGCTCGCTCCCTGAGCAAATGCACTCTTGGCGACATGCCACCGGTGGCCTGGCCAGGATTTCCACAGAAGAGTGTTAAGACAGGCACAATACATACAACAGTGAAAACGGCATGTACTACATTGCTGCAGTGGTACTGGGAAGAAATGAACCTTGGACTCAGTGATGTCGTCTCTGACGGAGCTGAGTAGATCGGCGTGCTCCCTCATGGAGCTCAGGTTCCCCCTCGTCCTCCTGAACTCCTGCTTCCACGAACGAACGAACCACCACTTGAAGCGATTAACCAGTGGTTCAACGAAACGAGAGTGCGAGGAGCGGAGCGGAGGGAAGGGACCTGCGTGAACTCGTGGAGGATGTCGCGGTGGCGCGCGAGCTTCTGGGAGACGGAGGTGGTGGTGGCGCTGGAGGCGGCGCAGCGGCTCATGGCGTCGTTGACGTCCTGCAGCTTGCCGAGCAGCGACTGGATCTCGAACTCCATGGACTTCCAGGAGGAGCGGTCGGCGGTGGGGGAGGCGGCGCCCGAGGCGGATGCGGAGGAGGAGGAACGCGCGGCGAGGCGCGCGTAGGAGGACAGCTTCAACGTCGAGGTCGCCCTCCAGCTTGCGCGCCTCCCGCCGCAGCTCCTCCCACCCGGACTCCTGCAGCTCCAGCGCCGCGGCCGCATCCGAAGAAGACGACGACATCATCTCCGGCTCCGGCTCCGGCACCGACGCCGCGCGAGATCCGATCCGGCGAGGGGTCTGGGGTCGCTTGTGACGCGAAGAAGAAGCGTGGCGAGTGGGGAGTACCTCCGATCTGGATCCGACCGCGCGCCGTAGTGGGGAGGTTAGGACTCGCGAGGAGGAGGAAACGGCGGCGGCGGCGGAGGGCGAGGTGAGCTCTTCTCGATCGAGGGCGGGGAGTTTAGCCGGTGGTGATGGAATGGAACTATAGAAGGAATCACGGTTACACCCCTACTTCATCGCAATATTTCATAAAACTCATGGATTGTTAAAAAAACGCAGTGCGGATATTTTTTCGACCGTATTTCAAACCGAATCCGTTTAAAGGGGTTCAGATCTGTTTCATATCTCGAGTGCCAACATTCGTCCGTGTGGATTTTATGATTACAGGATCCTATCCGATACTATTAATATTAGTGATATCCGTTAGATCCGATTTTTCATCCCTAGAATGATACTTTTTTTTGAATGAATTTTTCCGTGCTGGAAAAAACAGTGACGGTGGTGCTCTGTTTTGCCACTATTTATATGAAAAGGTCCGAGCAAAATCAAAATATAGTAAAATTTCGTATTTATAATTCAGGATAAGGGATAAGATTAGATAAATGCAAAACATGTGACATGAGAAGAACTGAGGAACTAGGAACACCATTGGATAACCATACCTGTCAAACACGAATAGCAAAAGAACAAAAAGATCAAGTACAAGTTTTAATGGTAAAGTGTAAAATGCGTGAGTGTCATAATTTGTTATATAAACCCCATAATAACTAAAACTACACCAACCCTTATAATTAAGGATGTCTCCGGCTAATAACTTTTTTTCATATTAGATATTAGATATAGATAAACCATAGACAATGGTTAGAACAAATAATAACTAGAGTTAGTTTGGTTCTTAAACTAAGGTGTTTAAAGTTTGGTGCTTGATCTTGGAGTATGCTGGTAGCTATAGCTATCTTCTCCTCTTTTATGAAGACCAAAGAAATAGTCATACTTAGGGCATTTTTTATTAGCTAAGTTAGTTACAATTTAGGGCTAAAAATTAGCCTAAATTAGTTGAGGTTGGCCAGCTAGTTGGCTTTTTCACTTATTAGCCCCATGTTTGGACAAGCTAGAGCTAATTTTGGTTAAAAATTAGCTGGCTAACAATTAGTTATGTGCATCCAAATAGAACATTAATTTGTTGGCGGCATAGATGTCAGAGATTTTCTTATGGTAGCTTAATCAATACAAATATACATTTTTAATCATTTAGTTTATATTGTGTACATGTCATAGTCCATGCTTACGCATGTTCATTCAACTGAGTTTAGAGTGATATTCTAGAACCATTATTTAATTTTTTGGGGGTAAAAGATAGTTTGTCCAATGATGGGATTGGAATAAAGAGAAGTTCTACCAAAAATAAATAAAACATTGTTCACAATCAGGGCATGCAACCATTCAGGGGGCTAAACTAGTCCATATAGGCTTAGTAAGCTGGTATGGCCCAGCTTCTCTGAGTTTTAGTATAATGGGTGATGTACTAGGGAGGAAAAAAACTGAAAAATGTACTATTTGACTTTTAATTTCAACTTATTTTAGTCATAAGCACCTTATAAGCGGTATCAAACAGTTTCTAGGGCTCTCAAGCCAAGGCTCCAACAAAACAAGCCCAAAGTGCACATGTAGATCTGGCTCTTTGAGCAGAGGGTCTAGTGAATTTGAGCACTTTCTGATGTGAATTTGAGGCTGTAGTGAATTTATCTTTCTCCTTTGTGCACATATAAACCTGCCTAAGTGCCTCTATATATAACTTGTCGATCAGCCAGGAATGATAGAATTTATGAACTGAAGTGTTGTCCAAGACATGGATTGATCTTTGATTTGCAATCGGGTTGGGCTACCTTTGCTATTCTGCAAGGTATCTCAACTGTCTCTTGCTTCAACCCGTAATAACTTGTCAGCTTTTGCCAGCCAGAACATGCATGTCGCTCAAAACACTCGTGTTAATGACGACACAAGCAGAAGGAACATAAAATATGTATAATTAACGCCCAACTTTACATTTTGTACCCATGAGATAGATCCATTATTTATGCTGCTGTGCACCATAAAAATGCTCCATCAAACAATAAATAAATCCCTTGGCTATTGATGAGCGAGTGGGTGATGATCAGTCATCCATGCATGCATGTTATTTTCAAGCGCATTCATCAGTCAAGAGATCATATACATATACATAAACAAGTCAAGGCGCCTTGCTTTGCTCCTTCTGCTGCTCCGCCGCGCGCTTACTGGTCTTCTTCTCCTCCTCGTTCGCCTCCTCATCTTCCTTGGCGGCAGCGCTCTTGTTGCCCATCTGCCACGCTGTGGCGCCGACAATGCCGAGCAGCGTCACGAACGGCACGAACACGACGTTGGGGACCAGGTCCAGCCTCACGCTCTTCACGTAGGGGATGTGCCCGCTGGCCCTCTTGCCCACGACGGCCGCCACCGGCACCGCCAGCCCGGCCACGATGAAGAAGCTGTCGTCCACCTTCGCTTCCCTCACGTTCTTCCTCATGAACTCGAGGAACAGTCTCTTCCTCTCTTCCTCGTTCTTCTCCGGCTTCCACACGTCGTCAAAAAATTTCTGCGTTGCAACGCATGCATGCCATGTGCGTTGAGATGCTAGTCTAGCTACTATATGCATTCCATGCTGGACGTTTACACATGGGACTACTACTCTGTATATATATACATAATATTCCCCACAGAAACGTATGGACTTTGGATTGATTATTACCTGAATCTCCGTAGTTGATGGAGTGTCAAAATCCTGACCGGGCATTACCGTGTTGAAATACCTGCAGGGAGCGAGGAAGTCTTTTAATTTTGTGATGAAGTGCTAGGGCAGGAGTGGAAAACCACAGAACAGAAAGGACACCCACTTGCAGAACTCGACGTAAGCAATATGGAAATCTTTGAACTCCTTAGTGTCCTTGTTTGCGAAATGCCGTTCATAAACTTGCTTGGTAGTTGCCGCGCTCAGCCCTGGGACTCCTGAGAACGAGAGCACAAACTGTCAATTCCCCTTCTAAAATGAAACATAGTCCCCAACTTCTTTAGGTAGATCCCTCGGGCATATTGCATCATACCACAAACAAATAAAGGAATGCTTGAGGGAAAATTACCGAATTTGTTCAAGACACTGAAGTTAAGACCCATCTTTGGTCCAACAGCAGGGTGATTGATCAGGGCGTGCGTGCGTGTGCTCACAAGAAGCAAGGGTACCTGAGACTGAGTGCTTATATAGTTCCACAGAACAAAAGGAGTGCAAGTTTGGACTGCATTCCTTTCCTTGTTATCATACCAAGGTTGTTTCTGCCCCTCCAATTCGATTCCTGTCCTGGAAGTGAAGTTAGGGTTGGCCTGCTTCTGAAGCTGTAGGTATCATTTCGGGGAAGGTTGCCAGCCTGGCCTTTTCTGGGTTTCCTGCAACAGTGAGAACGTTATCCACAAATTTTTCCAGCATAGTAAAAATATGGTCCAACTGAGTGTCTCTCCTCAGCGCAAGGAAGATGAATAGCTGATTTCTGGAAAATTGCAAGGTTCCCAAATAGAACTGGACTCATTTAACAGTGATCTAAAGTTCTAAACCTCACTTTAGAGTCATAATTGACATGCTTTGGCACATGCATATGCTTTCTTGCTTGCGCAAGACGAATTGAATAACCATGCTTTATCTGCCAAAAGAGAGATTCCTGGTGCTGCTTCTTTCTTGTCCCTTGGGTATCAATATTTTCAGATCCATGGAACACGAGTTGCTAAGTATAGCATTAGTAGCCGGACAGTGCATCCACATAAATTCAGTTCTGATATATGCCAGAGTTATGGTTGTCTCTCTTCCATTGCCAAAATTTAAACTATATCGATTGTTAGAAAAAGAATAACCCTTCCAGGAACACCTAATGGTAGAGCAAGAGAGAGCTTTGAAAGGCCATCGGTTCAAGTTGACACTGCTTAAAATCAAAGATACTCAATTCCATATGTCTGCTCATTTCTTTCTCAAAAGAATAGTGCTAGGAACTCTAGTCCTGCTTGAGAAGGATCGGAGGTTGTATGTGTGGGAGATCGGAGGTCGAGGTCGGAGCACACGCGGAAGACGGCGCGGCGGCGCCGTGGCTGCAGCGAGGGCGCAAGGAAGAGCTAGGGCAAGACTCCCGGCTCCCAGGGGAAGCCGGAAACAATTAGGTATGTTTCTGCTTAATTCTCAAAATAATCTTACAAGGTATTTATGACTCCTCTCATCTAATAATAGGAAATAAATTTTAGTAATTCCAATAATTCTAATAATAGCTAATACTATGCGACGGTGCGGGCTTTAGGCCCATCCCGGACGCGGCCCTAGCCACGAGCCGGCCTTCTTCGACCATAGTGCACGCCCGTCATAACATCTCTCCCCGCCTGCGAAAACAGCTCGTCCTCGAGCTGGAAGTCGGGGTAGGCAGCCTTGAAGTCGTCGACGCGTTCCCAGGTAGCATCCTCCTCAGCCAACCCGCGCCACTTGATCAACACGTTCCAGACACCCCGGCGTTGCTGCGCTTTCAATGCACGGTCCGGGGCTGGTAGAACGCGGCCGTCCTGTGTCGGGGGCAGGAGACCGGACGTCGCTGGAGGATCGCCGCGATGCTTCTTCAGCAGACTGACGTGGAAGACATCATGCAGGCGAGCGCCGTCAGGCAACTGTAGACGATAAGCGACACGTCCGATACGCTCCAGCACACGGAAGGGACCAGCCCAACGAGGACCCAGCTTGTGCCTGGCACGGGGGTCCAGAGACTGCGCCGTGCGATGGAGTAGGCGCAGCCAGACCCACGCGCCAACTTCGAACTCCACCTCCCTGTGGCTGGCGTCGTAGTACTTCTTCGCAAGTTGTTGAGCTTGAATAAGGCGTTGACGGACCTCAGCCAGCATCTCGTCACGGCTGCGAAGAAGAG